GATTGTATTCTTTTTTCTTTTTTTTTCTATTTTACGTGGTCAAGGTTCTGCTTCAGAGTTGTCTTGTGTAGTCCCCAGCTTATGAAATAATTGAATTTTTTTCTGGTTTTCACAATTCATTATGCCAGGCTAGATGAAAATCTTTCAAGAAATTTTAAGGATCAGCATCTTTTGAAGTCTTAAGTTCAACTTTCTTTGGACTTTGCTTCCTTTGTGTAGACTCAGAGATTCTGCCTAAAATTATTGAAAGTATTTGCTTATAATTAAACTTTTCTTTCACCAAGCAAAGTTCACCATTTCTTAAGCCTTATTAATTCTCTCATGACCAGTAAGCACCTTTAAGATGTTAGGTGCATATCAAATTTTAGTAAAATTAATTTTAACTATTTCAATGGTTTTTAATTGAAAAATATTTTGAAATTTATATTCTATCTTTATGCAACATTTATAATGTGATTTACAAAAAGGAAAAAAAAAAAATCAAACTTGCATTTCTGCACATCTCTTAGGAGTCTCAACATACATATGAAAAATGTTTTAATTTTTTTTTACCCATCCAAAAGATTAGTTAAATGTTTACCAAGAAGCCATCAGTCCTTGAATATAATTATTCATATTTTATTTCTCACATTATTACCTTTCTCTTTCACTGATTTTATTAGTACTTCCTGTTATTCCCACCCTCTTATAATCTTTCAGCGTCTGATCTGAATTACTACTAATGATGCTCAGCTTTGAAAATAGCTACAGGTAAAGGTTAAATGCCATTGGATAGAGCAGTTTATAAAACATTTAGATTAATGTAATGTGAATAAAGTGCATTAATAGTAATTTATGGTTTTGTATGGAAGTGACAAAACATAGCTCCTCCAAGAAAGAACAAAAAAATTTAATGAGGAGGTTAGAAGACTTAGGAACAAACCTTAGATCTAGGAATTTTTATAGTTTCTTGGGTTTTTTTTATTTGTGAAAATGGTGTTCTATTAAACTATATCTTTCTTCTGTAACAAAACATCAGGTGAACTTATTTAGGTTTAATGAGTACAGTAGGTGTTAGCAAAATAATTCCAGAACATGGATCCTAAGTTATTGAATATTATTTTTAGGTTTATCATATTCAAACAATGCACATAAAAAAAATTATATACATTGATCTTAATTAAGCATATTGTTAGGAAAATTAATGTTATCTAGCTGGAACTGTTGCCATTTTGAAAGGCCATGTCCTAGGTCACTGATAAGTCTTTGTGAGCTTATTCAGTGTTTTTTATGATTTATAGGCAAAAGTGTTGACTGCTGCAATTGGCCAAATAAAGTATAAAATAAATATGTTTATGAATGTCAATCAAGGTCAAATTGAATTGATATATATGAAATTAAACTTTGTGATGAACAATAAAATTTTAATTTCTAAGATAAAAGTAAGCATTTTCAATGCTTTTTCCAAAAAAAGGTGTCTCCTAACAAAATTTTTAATAATTCACTACATAAAAAATATAGGAAAAATTACATCAAATTATATGAATTTTTTTAAGCCCAAACTAGATATTGTTAAGCAACTGTTCTAAGTCTCATGCAATTTGGTTAAGTATTTCCACTGGGAGAAAAATAAATTTAGGGATATCCTTCAATAAGGACAGGGTTAAATATGAATTGAGATCTTTGAGGTTTTCTGTTGCTACTAGTTGAGTGATAATTGTGGTTGTATTGCCTCATTTATGAATGTGATTCAGATGAAGTTTTAAGGTTGTACTTTTTAAAAATTGTTGTTAACAAAACATGGGTCATCTGATTTTGTTTGTCAAATTTAAATAACTATAAAGAAATATACTCTTTAAATTTTGTCCCCTGGTGGGACAGCATTAAATCTATGATTTACAATGCTACAATCTGGGGTTTGATTCCTTTCGGTGGACACAGCAGATAGCTGGATGTGACTTTGCTATAAAAAAAACATGCACACACTTTAAACTTCTGTTGTAGTGTCAAAAATAAAAGTTCTACATTTCAGTTTAGAATGCATTTTATATCTGTACTATTTTTGTATTGTTTTTACATTTCCTTTCATAGAAATACTAGTATATTTTACTCAAAACGTTTATTAGTTTCAGGAAAGTTTTTTCTTCATTGTTTTGATTTGAAATGAATACCAGGATACATTGTTTCTAATGATTTTACTATGTGAGAAATTAGGTGCATTTCTTATGTGATGTTATTATGGTGGAAAGTGTTAGGCTAATGGTAAAATGAACTTGTTATTGTACAATACTTCGTGATGTGTGCTCAAATATTCTTGTGTTTAATTTTTCACGTGCTTATATTTATGCATTTCTAATTTGTAAATTCAGCTTAGAAAATATTGAGAATATGAGTGAAAAACATTTAAAATGCGAAAGTGTGTGTTAAAAATTTACCGCAGAGCAATATTGTTTACATTGAAATGATGTTGATAGTAAGGTGACTAACTTTTACTGAGTATAATTGTAATAAAGGAGAGATATAGATATCTGCAGATATCTTTCATAGACAAATTGAGAATTCTGCAAATAAGAGACATCTATGATGATTAAAAATATGCTAATACTAGTTATGAAACAAAGAAAATTGATGGATAAGGCCCTGGTTGCTATAGGCTTGTTCAAGTTGTGTTGTTCACTTACATTTGAATTTGTTACTAATAATCAGAAAAAAAACATGCTCAAATTTTGAATTTAGTAATAGAAGTTAATGTAGTTTCAAATAATGTTTTTATCTTTTAATTTTGACATGTAATATAAGAAACATTCATCAGGATTTAATTTTTCACTGTAGTATGTATTTTGATTCTGGAAGAATATTGCTGATCAACACAATATGGAAAATAATTAAAGACACTGTAAGTAGTTGTTTTAGACATATAGTGTACTGTTTTATTTTCTTTTTAATCCATTTCTAGCATTATTTAACGAAATCTGAGATATTAAGTAAGTAAGAGATTTATATTTAAAATGCTTTAAGTAATACCTGTTAATAGTGTGCATTATCTGTGACATCAAATCTGTGTAAAGCATAAGTTCATGAACAGTAATGCACTGGGTCCCCTTTGGAGCCACAGGCAAAGTCTTACTGGGGTACTGCATTGGTGACCTAGTGATTTGTGAGAAGTGTATCAAGTTGCCCTGCATATTGTTTTTACATATTATCAGACAACAAGTGAGGAATCCATAACTTACAAAGATGAAATAAAACTCTTGCCAGAATTCTTTTGTATTTATTTTAAAGTCAGCCCTTAACTATTAATTTAAAATAGCAAAACACTTAAGATATTAGCATGTTTAGTGGTATACGAAACTCGTGTAAAAATATGGTTCCTCACAAAGACCTGGAGTGGATAGAAATTAAAATATATTTTATATATATTAGTATGTTCCCATTCTTTGTGATATAATACATGTAGGTGTCCAATGTTTGTGTGCATTAACAGTATCTGAATTCAGTACACCAACAGGCATTTGAGTTCATCATATGATTTTGAGAGCATGTCTATGATTTGACTGTTTGATATCTCAGCTAGAATGCTGATTGTAGAGATTATGAGCATGAGGGCTTTGGTATGGAAAGTGTCAGAAGAAAATGATACACTTTATGTAAGTTGCTATATACTTTTGAATGTAGCGTGTAGTTTTCAGCAACTGAAAAGCACACGTTAAACACCATTTGCACCTCTGGAAAGTTTTGCATCTACTCTGTGATCAGTAGTGTCACCTCCCTCAAACAACACCTCCTCCAAGGCAGTGTACTGGTCTTCTAAACATTGATTTAGCTTCACATACATACTTGCAAAATGTAGTTCAGATCTTAATTTTGTAAGATCTAGATGTGGCATGAGCTTGTCTTATTCAGTGATCTGGCAGGCAGGCCCTTTTTCTTCATGTTGACACAAATCTGGGTCAAAATACTGCATGTCAGCATACTGCTTACTTTGTTCTGCATATTGTCTCATAAAACTTCCTATTTCTTGACCAAATACCACATTGAAAGTATACACCTTGTATGTAATCATAGATGATGTAGTTGTATCACATTCTCTAGATCTTATTTCTTCATACTTAATATCTAGCAGACCTAGCCAATCAATGTTGCAAAAAATGTTGTTTATATATCTAACAGATTCATCCACTCTTTCTACAGTACTATGCATGTCATCCCTAAATGCTCTCAGTTAAACTGCACACACTTGTATTTGCAGGGAAGGCAGAGTTCCATCTCAGGACAAGTCTCTGTCAATTGAAAGTAATTGAATTGGTAAAATAAAAAATCTGACTTTTTAATTTCAAGATCTAAAACTACTGGACAAGTTACAACTACAAATGTGTGCTTATTTTGAAACATTCATACAAACATTTACTGATATGCAACTTCAGAAAAATTCTGAAATATTGTAGACCAGCATGTATATATTAATAATATAGTTGATCATCAGTTTTCCAAAGTCAATTATGCATACTTTACGTGCCAATTTAGAGACGATCTGTTCAAATTAATTCCCGTACACAGTCATAAAAGTAATCAGACTTGAGCTAGATCTGTATTCACTTTATTTTGTCTGTAATAGGCCTTAAACTTGTGAGTGACTTAGCTTATAACAACATAACTTAGTTATAATTTATAAAACTAAACAATCTAAAGTTACATATGAAGGAAGTTTACCTGGCTGTATGCATGCCTAACTCAAAAGTCTTAGACTATATTTAATAGTATTTTTAATAAAATCTACATTATAATTCCATTATTTCAGTAATGCTTAGTGGTACTGATTACTGTTGTAACTTTAAACTTTGTAAGTGGAATACTGCGACTGTAACACGTCTGTGTTACATGCAAAAGAGGTAGGAGTAGTGGGCTGGGGCAAAAAAATTCTACTCGTTGGATTTAGAATAAAGACTACTGGAAGCCTGAGATCTTGAGTCTCAGTTCTGTTTATCACATCTCATGAGCCAAAGTATTACTTCAAAAATAAATTAGTTAATGTATATGATCTTTTAAAAAACACAGTTTTCTGAGCAGTAGGCTCCAGATAATAGCTCTTTCTGATTGCATTTCAGAGTATAAAATCTGTTCAGTCTGTGGCACCCACTTCTCCTTTTTCTCTTCCCTGCATTATTTTGAGTCCTTGCAACTACTTCCTGCTTCCAAGCCTCAACTAAATCATCTGCATTTTATACAGGTGTAATATGATGGAAAATTGACATGAATGTGTGAGCAGTGAAAATTGTTTCATACCTCAGAAAGCCCTTCAGCATCCTTCTAGCCTCTGTTTTCATGGCAGAATCATGTGATTTTGAATGCTGCAATATAACCAGACACTTAATCAGGTTTTCCTGACCAAAATGTTTCACCTATCAGCTTAATTCTTTTCAACTTGTCTGCCCCTAACTTGCTCTCAGCTTCCTTTTTCCAAATATCCATTTGCTTATAGGAACTTTAGAAGAAATCTGCAGTTTTTTGCAACAGTTTGAATAATGATATTGCTGCAACACATACCTTTGTCAGATCTATCAGAACTAAATTGAGTACATGTGGATAACACCAGATGTGGATATTTGCATTCATGGCAGAAGAGAGCTTTGCGTGAAAGCCACTGTACTGCTCATGACAAGCACTGTTTGGGCAAAGCACAGACAGACCACTGTGTAGCTTTGTGCTTAACCTCAAACATACAAACCACTACCAATGTAGTTGTGGGAGGGAGCAAGAGCTAGCAGCCTTTCAGTTACTTTCCTACCAGACTACCACAGCACACTGGTCAGTTGTAGTGATGTCTTGTGTGGAATTAATCTGTACTAAGAATGTATCAGCATTTCTATCTTCAGCTGATATAATGTTCTGGATCGTATTCTTCATCATAACAAGCAGATTTTTGACTGTTGTTTTACAGATGAAAGTAACTGAGTCTCCTCTTCCAATAGATCCAGAATTTGTGTTCCTTGAAGTTAGCAATTACTTTATTCAAGTGATTTAAGAGTGGCATGTCAAACTGACTTATAAGTTTTATCAATTCCTAGAAAACTGTGATTTATTTCATCTTTATCCAGCTTGTGTGCAGCTTCATCTCTACATTCTCTAAATGGAAGATTAAGCTTTCCAATAACCCTGGTAACAGCAATAATTTTATCAACAATTTTATGATTCTCCCGAACTTCAAGTTTTTGTTTATTAGGCAGCATGTCATGTAGATATTTCCACCTTTCTAGTTCATCACATGCACTTCTCAATTTTGCATGTGTTACTTAGATTCTTCCAGGGTACATATGCATCCTTGAAAGTCCTTGAAATTGAGAATAGAATTTCAAGGGCTTGAAATTACTTGAAAATATTATAATAGCAGAATATGATGATATATCTAACTTTATGCATATTGCAGAGTTGAGTGTAATAAATAGTCTTTCTTTTCTTTTTAGTCTACATTTATATGTTGAACAAATAAATAGGAATTTTATAAAACTTCAGTGGAATCCAATTGATTTTGATGCAATTTTATATTCCAAAAAGTGCTTGAAAAACATTCTGAGAGTGTTTAGAAATCCCTTTAAAAATGCTTGAAATTGGTCTGAGCAATTCAGTATGAACTATGTTCTTCATGCTCCTCTACATGTTGATGAACATGGCACCAGTCACTACAGCCACACACACAAATGGAAGGCATGATACTAATGCTTTAAAAGCATAGGTAAATAATGCAGGTTTTGTTTCTGATTTGAAACCAGATATTGAGCAAAATATTTGCTACACCGATTTTGACTTGATGGTTTAGAAAATATATTCACACCATCAGAGATTTCACTTTCATGAGAAGTGTCGTCTCCTGTATCTATGTTATATTTCTCATTGCTGAGTGGGGTTTCCATGTGTGTTGCAGTAATATTAACATCATCTCTGCATGAATGAACAGGCCATATAATTTCAAGAGTTTCTTTTTAGTCAGTTGCATCTGTAACGTGATAATTATTTTGAAATGTTCAATGTGGGAAGTGACCTTATAGTTCTCTTTATTAAACAATAATCTGGTTTATTGAACTTAGTAAATTTTACCAAATGTCACCAGTAAACTTTGCCGATGTTAGGTAAAATTCACCATTGCCACATACATACAATAATACTCCATGACAGTGTCATTATCAACCAGACTTGTACTGACCAACTAGACTGGTTATCAGCTCCTCATACCACTTGGCATAGGGTCTGAAGTATTTTAAAACTACTGATCAAATGTGTATACATCACAGAAATTAATTTTTTATAAATGTCTAAATGTCATTTATCATATTATTTTAATTGTTAAAAATATATGTTATTGTACATAATACATGAACATATATGAAATATTGATATTGAAAAATATATATTATACACACGGGGCTCTCCTTTCCACTTATTGATTTCCTCACAAGGTGGTTTTGAATTTTCAGGTATTATGACCGATCAACTGCAGATCCTATAATAAGCATTCAGCTTGTTAAATGAGGGTCTTTTAAGCATTCTAATGGACAATTTATGTGCAAAATGATTATTTATATGCAACAAAGTATTGATAATCTAACAATCTTGCAGCTGAAATACAAAACGAGGGATATGCTGTTCAGTTTTATTATTGTTAATGAGATTTGCCATATATTGAAAAGGTTTTGCCAGTGAAATTCACCAGCAAAATTACCAGGTACAACAAGCCCATTAATCCTAATATAATAATTGTAAGTTGAATTTATAACAGTGCATTATTATGCCATTATACAACTTGGAGACCTACAAGTCTCGCACAGTACTAATTCTTATAGTAATTGTAGTTGATGATTTTAATATTTTCATGGGGAAGAATGTTCCTTCGTCAGGTAGGCCTGTAATTAATATGAATATCAGCAAACTAAATTACCATTATTACTTTATTATTACAAAATAATAATGTGATGAAATTGATATTTATATATGCAAAACTAAACTTTAGCAAAGTCTTGTACTCGTAGGTCCACTTCCCAAGGATTGTGTATTATAATTTAACTGAGCACATTAAATGCCAGTTTCTGATTCAATATTTCTAGTGACCTTTGCAGACTTCTGCAGTTTTCTCATTTTAGAAGATTTGTGTTTTTTGCTAGGCTATGAATGTTTTATATTTATCTGTGGGAAAGCCTGCCAGAAGGGGGTATAAATATTGGCTACATATTATAGATTTATTGTATTCAGTGTTTATTATAGTCTTCTACATCAGTTTGATCATTTGAGATAGATAAATGATACTGGTTTTAATTTATGAACATGGGTTTAAATGTTAAGTGGTAACCTATGAAATGTGAGGGAGCACTGCTGCTCGAGTTTTAGGGGGGATCACTGAGATTTTGCCCAGTGGGCCAGTCTGCCACTGCTGATGAAGTATGATCTTTTTAAAGATAATTCATGTAAATATAAAAAATATAATAATAATTTTAATAACCAGTACAAGTTTCCTGTAATAAATGCATAAAAGCACTTCGATTTTGTGGCACTTCTAACAGCAAAATCTAAAGTGTATTGTATTTTAAGAAAGTTATCTGTGTGGATATAAAATGAAAAATAGATAGTAACACCTAAATCATGTATTGAAGAAAATTTTCATTGTCTAAGTACTGAAAACAAACAGTAGTATTTAAATAATATTGTTTTGAAAGTACGTCTCCATAAAACAATAGAAAGTAAAGCCTGGTGGGGGTTGATTGTTTGTAAAAGTGTTATTTTTTCTGTAATTCCGTATAGTTCCATTTTTTCCACAAGTATCATTGTAGTCAATGGTATAAAAATAAGAATTGATTTAAGAACAAAACACAGCTGTCATTATTTTAAATGTAGAAATTATTTATTTCGGGTGGTCTTTGTATGTTGATATATATATTTTCTGAGGTATGTTTAGTGCGGATTGCTTATGGAATTTGTGAATTCCAAATCCTTAGAAAATTAAAAATGTTTTCAAATCTTTCTGTAGCATTCCTGACTTTAATTTTAATTATTTGATGTAGGGTCTTGCTGTTGTCCTTGCTCCTACACGTGGAAACTCATTCCAAAAATTTGTTGATGAAGCTCAACAAAAATTTCACATAGAGAAACTCATGATCTATGACATTCATCTTTGGGATCTGCACATCAAGGTATATATATCTATATATATTTCTTTGTTCATAATCCTTGACACATCAAGAAGTAGACTTACAAGTATTAAAATATACAGCAATATTAGATACTGCATTGGAACTTTAAGTGAAATAGGCTGTGGGCCCCCCCCTCACTCTTTCTAGTTCTTGGGTATTTTTGGATTCCATAGCCATAGGAGCATAAGAAAGTCCTTGTTAACTTTGTGATGCATCTATATATTCTTGAAACCTAACAATACCCTCAAACTGTTCGAGTTTGAAAATTAGGGGATAAGGCAGAGGTTTTGCATCAATAAACAATTAAATATACCATTATTTGGTATTATCTGAAGAATAATGTAGATGTTGAAATGAGTAAATTGACCAGACACATCATGTGTGCCATTTTTGAAGAATGTTTGTTGAAATTGAAATTTAGCAATAACATTACGAAAAGATAAGAAGCCCAAACATGTTATTTTCATAAAGTTACAGCATAAAAATATAGGCTTACTGTGCAGAGTTTTAACAATGTTTTCTTTGGTATTCTTTTCTTAGCTCAAGAAAAAGAAGCCAGACTTGTATGATGAAAATCTTCATTATCCTCAGATGCTGTTGTTGCGTAAACTCTAGTTCATACTTATTAAAAGGTAATACCTACTTAAAGTTGTAATACTGTAACCTGTGTTGTTCCTGATCATATTTTTTCTTTCTCATAACTTTTGAAAGAAAACACAGAGTAATATGTTATGGCACTTTTTACACTATAGTAACACTTGTTGGCCAACTCAGCACAGTATTTATAGGAGTTTCTTGTCAATAAACTGTATTTTCAGTTTTTTGTTTTGTTTTTAGCAATATATAATGTGAAATGTAGTAGTGTAACTGATTGGTGAACATTAAAATAAATTATTCTGGTGGCAGATTTGCCAAGACAGACAGTCAGAGTCATTCTTTGAAAGTTTCTCTACTACAGTGTTTTTTTGCAATATGTTATTGGAGATAACTTTCAAAGTAACTGTTGTTGATCTAAGTAGAAAAATAATAAAAATAAAAATAATTTTAATATTTTTATGCAATTTGCAGAAAAATTGCAAGCATAATTTTATTAGTATTCAGATCTACCTGTGGAAAGTCTTTCAAACATGGGGGGCTTATTAACCCTATGTGCACAGAAGGATGAAAGTGTGTTTGTCATGACCTTTTAAAAGAGTTGAACTCAAAATTTAATTACACAATTTTATCAATGAAATAATAGTTATAGAATACTTACTACAAAGGTTGAAAATTACAGCTATTAGATAATTGTAATACAACAAAGAGGAAATTACAGCTTGTCATTTGGCTAACAAGTGGAATGGGACTCTGCAAAAGAAGAAATATAGTCAACATTTGGGCTTAATGACACATCTGAGTCTCAAACAGGGAAAAATTTTGCAGCATGTTTTATAGAGGTAGACAGGAGTGATGTAAGGAGGAAGTGTTAATGTTATGTGTATGCATACGTAATACTCTGTGGTAACTGTATAGTAAAATACGGCAATACTGTTTGGTAAAAATTACTTCACGTCCTAAAGTATTATTTTGCTTTTTGTTTTTCTTATCCTATTACAATTTTTCATCACTAGACACAAAATACCATTTATACACCAGATGATTGCCTACATGTAAAATGTGCAAGAGCTAACTGTGTATGTGAGGGTACATGTGCCTTCCTGTTCCTAGTAGCAAAATGATCGTGTGATCTTGAAGTATAAAATGTGGTAAGTCGAAAACAAATCAGCAGCATTAATGTTAGCTTTTGTAGCAAAGCAGAAGAAATGTCTATGTGAAATCAGAAATTTATAAAGGTAAGTTGTGAATCAAAATTACAGAGAAATTAGTAAAATCCTGAAGTAGAATTTCTAAGAGGAATTAGACATCTCCTATTTCACTTCATGTTTAGTCCAATCACTGCCAATGTTCTCATTAATGTACTTTTTACATGTAAATACACAATTTTTTACACCAAGGATTGATAAACTTGTTTTACGATGTGTCCAACAGGCTAAAAGTATCTTGATGTTGCCATTTTAGTTCTGTTCACCAATGTATAGTTTTCAATAAAGTTGGGATCTTTCATCTTCAATTTGACAATGCAACAACCATACTGTTTATTGTTATGTTTGGACAGAAATGTTCTGTCCCATTTAATAGAATTCACTATGCAGCAATTTAATGTGTGTGTAGCTCCTTCCATTCTCAAAATCCTGTACTACTTGAGGAGACGAATCTTGTGGCAAAGAAACATATGGGGAAACTAGTTCAGTGTTGAAAATGTGAAATGTTACTTCAGTTAGTAAGTAATAAATAAAAAAAATTAACATTTCCGATGGTTTTTCATGTTTTGTGTGAAAACATAAGGGAACCCCATATTTTTTCCCAAGTGATTGTGTCCCTGGGGTTCAAAAAATTCAAATGCTGATTGTCCTTAAGCTTAAAGTAATTGCAATGCATAATCAAATCCTTTCGCATGAAAAATACAGTTGAGAAAACAGATCAATAGGTAACAAATGTCTTAAAAAGCAAGAATAGTGATTGACTTGGCCTTTTTCACAATTTTGCCAAAAATATACTTTTTTACATTAATAAAATTATATTAGTTATTTATAAAATGTATTAAAATATGTATTTCACTTAGGCATAAATGAGGCTAAAAAAAGATAATTTATTTGTTTTTTATTATCTTACACTTTGTTATTAACAAAATTACTGTCATTTTATGTCAAACTAGACAAGTAATACTACTAAATTTAAGTTTTTAAAATTATAATCATATGTAGGTAATTAATCTATTCCTAAATATCTACTTCAATGGCCCCACATATAGTTATCCATGATATTGGTCCCAATATTTCTCTGCTTTGATAGTGTAAAGACTTGTTGTGTAAATCTTATCATTATTTTTTATGTTTTTCCAATACCTGCTTATCATATCCTGGTATTCTCAAGTTCACTGATTTCTCTTCAGTTAATTGGGTAGGATATGCAAGATAACAGGAGGTTTGAACAGAAAATGTATTGGGGAGTTAAATTTAGTTCACTTGGTTTTGACTGAGTTGTGAGAAAGAAAGAAACTAAGATATAATATGAAACATGGTGAAAGTAATCTTTATTCAATACAAAACAATAAAAGATGAGTTTGTAAATAGATGATAGTACTTTTACCGGAGGTTTAAGAAATCTTCAGATTTTGGTGAACAATCTGAGAAAACATTGCATTATATATAGCTACTTATGTCACTATTGGCCATTTCAATCAAAGAATAAGGGATGTTATTTTCTCAAGGTATCTCCTGACTTGCCAATGAAAAAGATGGCATTCTACCTTTACACGGTGTATTCTAATTTTCATCAATCTTTCCTGTGAGAAAGCTCAAATGATACCTTAGGGGAATGCAGAACATTTGATAATTGGAACAAAGGAACTTAGCCACATTCCCTAACCACTGTTATTAGTGTAAAACTACACACTTTGTTATGCACAAATATTTTGAAAAAAAAAAGTTGAGTGAACTTTGCTAAATAAAGAATATAGAAAACACCTGGTAAAGCCTGCATACTATAATGTATGTTTATAGTTTGTACATTAAATTCAACAATGATCTTTCTTTCTTTCTTGCAATGAAAGTGTTAAGTCTTTTTTTCAACTTCATGTCTAGCCTGTAACAAATCATTGGTCTTGTTCTTCCAAATACTAGATCCACAGACTTCTTGTTTTTACAAAGATTGGATAAGTGTGTGCTTGGAATACCATGCAACATATATTGATTCTTCATCTACTTCTGTATAATAGCGTGTCTTTCTCTCACTCAGATGTCAATGAAATTCATGACAAAACATTGACTAAGTTAGTTTTTTTTAATTTATAATCAGTGCTGTAGCACAACTTTTTTGATGTTTTCATTAAAATTAAAATACTCAAGTTTTGTTTGAGAAAGCTATTGCATGGAAGTTTAAATGATCTTTCAAAATACATGAACTTACTGTAAACAAAAATATTTCAAGTAACAATATTATTTGTGTGTAAAATTCTAGTCATTAAAAAAATTTTAATTTACAATTTGTAAAGTAGGTGTATTCATTTAGATTAATTACTTTAAAGCAAAATTTCTGTTTTTTTTCTTACAGATTCTTTCTAATCCTCAAGAGGATTGTGCTTCAGATTATAATGACTGCATCGCTGTCCTATTTTTAACTTGAGAGGAGGACTTTTTCTCATCAAAAAAGTAAACTTTCTGAATTTGTTTTAATAATCTAAATCTCAAATTAAATGTCATACAAAGAGTTACCAAGAAAGACAGACAAAAGAGAATTCTAATCCAGTTTTATTATCATTAATTTATATAAAAGCCTACTTTTATCTGTTGAGTGAGTATGGATATTAGATGATGCCAGACCAAACTATTGGGGCCAAAATATGCCAACAACTACTAAAAATGTTTGCCTTTGTCCCACCTGAAACAGTTTAGTCTGAAATTTGACATGTTTCATGTTCTGTGAAAATAGTTTTGGATTATTAAAACTATTTATCTAAATGTTTACTAAATTCAAATACTCGAATAGGAAGAGTGACATGGTATCAAGGGGTGTTTCCTAGGTTGTGATAAGGTGGGTAGTTTCATTGCTAGTACTGTCCTATATCTCAAGTTTTAATATATTATACAGTAATTGTAATAGTTAAAAGTGGTGTTTTTAGAGTACTTATGTTACTTTCATATTTAAATTGATTTTTTCTTTAGATCAGCTGGTTATATTTTTTTGTGAAACAATACCAGTTATGTTTTTATGTTCTTAATGTAGGTGAGTAAATATAAAGTAATTTAAACATTTTCTTGTTTCATTTATATTACATTATAATATATTCATATATTTAAAACTTTGTTATGTGTACATATATTTCATCAATAGTATTCTAAATAAAAAGTTCTTTCTTCTCCAAAGTTGGTGTGTTTTATTTGTATCATGTGGACTCTGGATTATTAGCACAGTGTTTGGAAGTAAGGATTTTAGGTATTTTTTGTGAGCAAGAGACAAGTTTTGCTTACTCATCTGAAGAATGAATTACATTAAAAAATATATTCCTATATTTAACAGTTAGTGCTTGTATTGTGTAAACATTTTGTGTCAAATGATTTAAAATCTGAGATTGAGCAACAGATGATGAATAGTTTGTAACAAATTATTATAAGGTCATTTAATATTGTAATAGACATCCTGCCAGGTGGACATTGCATTGGTTGATCTTGGGAATATGGTTTAATTTCATTCAGCTTATATTAACTCGATTGTTAACAATCTTGCCATAGACAGGTCAAAGTGCATAAAATCATGACTTTTTAGAGTTACATTCAAAATTTAATTAAACAACTTTATTATGGAATTTAATGTAAATTATTCATTATAATATAATTATTACTCAGGCAAAGCATAATGCTTATAGCCTTCAATCTTATTTGCTTATGGAGCCATAAACTAGAAAACCAGGCCCACTTACCACATCCATTTTATTACTTTCTATTATCAGAATAATTTTTTAACTTAATTTAAATTTAGGTTTAAGGTTCAAATGGTAATGATAACAATTGCTTTTGTACATGTGTCAAGTAATGTCACAAAATTTAGCTGTTATTTTCACTAATACCTCCATAATAGTAAACAGGATTGTTGCTTTTTGAAAAAAATAGTATAAAATTGAAGAAACTTTTAACAGCAGTGAACTTCTGAGTTATGTTATAGAGTGGATTAGTACATTATTCATATTATTGTTACCCCATGCATGTGCACGTTTCTTTTGCCCTTTCAGTTTTCTAATAAAACATATTACTAGGTTTGTCAGGATGATATGGTTTCCTGAAATACAGATCCTCGCTATAGTTGTCTGAGGCTGTTGTGACACAGCAGTGAACCTTTCAATTATCTGACAAAACAGTTGGTTGGATTCTTCAGGTTATAATTGCACCTAAAATGTACAGGTCCTCATTCCATTGAATATGTGACTGCAGGGTAGCAGAATCATACAAGTTCTTATATTCATTTTACTTTTAATAGAATCAACTGTCTTAAGCTCATTTTATATCATTTATGATTTCATAAACCTGGAAGCTGTGGTAATAGACACAGATACTATAACATAATACATTTAAGTAAAAATAAAAAAAACCTAGATCATATAGAAGTACTTATATAGATGAGAAAAATTAGTTCTTCAAAATCTAAACAATTCCATGTTAGATACAGATAGGCTTGTGAAATAAAAGTTTGCTAGAAATTGTGACATTTGTTCATGTTTTATATATGATTATCAATAATAAGATGAAAAGATTTTGCAAAAGATGGTATATTAATATCTTGCCTAAATTGGGATAATACATAAAGCTGGCCCTGTTTGACTGTCTCCAGTGTTAAAACAAACAGTCGAGTTCAATTTGCAAGGACCCCAAAATGTACAAGTCTTCACTGCATTGAATTTGTCTTCTGCTAAAGTAGGTAACTGGGTTCATGAGGCTGCTGTTGCCCCCAGGGTTGATAAGCTTTAACTGCAACAAATTGTATGGTATATTTTAGGTTGTTTTAGATTCTTATGGTTTGTTAATCTTTATTGTATTGAACATCAGAGCTGTACTGACATTGGTCTTTCTTTTATTTTGAATGTTTTAAATATCCACATATAATATTGTTTCAAGGCATAAGTGTACCCATTTCATTATAATATAAGAAAAAGTTTTAAAATCTCTTACAAAATTAATATTTCTTTTATCCTTTGTAAGAGTTCCATTGGTAATAAAATTAAAATTTGGTAAAAATTAATATCTGTGCTGGCCATATCTGCTAATTTCACATTTTCATAATAAGAGTTAATCTCATCGAATATTTGTTCTGGTTTGTTTTTTTCCCTCTAGGCTATAAAATGTTGGCATCCACTGCACAACATAAGTATCACTATAGATGTTTGTTATTGTCAGTTAGAACTTGTGTTTTACCTTCAAGCACCAGACAGAACAATGTTTTGCCTCTATAGTTTTCTCTTCTTATTTTCTGTCTAAGTGCTGCTAGTTCCTACTTCCTTGGGCTGTTGATTGTGTTTCAAACACTTTGATTTAGGAAATGAAGTAAAATAGATTTTTTTTTTCTGTACATTACTATCACCAGCAAGATTTCATAAACATGTTAACTTCACATTGAGAGAGAGAGAATTTTTGCTTTTAACTGGAGGTATTACAATTACTCATTAACATTTGGCCAATTAATCAGTGCAATTGTCTTGTGATCACTTTAATTTCTTTGTGACAACAACAACAAAAAATGGCTCCAGTTGCACAACACTGACATTATGTATAAGTAGGACTACTAGTTCATATTTTGTAAGTTACTGCAGGATTTCTATAGTGAAAGGTCACCTCATTAGAGAGGGAATGGAAATTCAATTCATAAACCACTTGTTCTTAGAATGGTAGTTAAGGTCATTGACCTGCATTTAACTGAAAAACTTCATGAAGAACAAACTTGATAGCCATATATCTATAACACTCTTAATGTTGTGGCAAGTACTACAAACGTTTGAAGGTGTATCATTGAAATGTATCAAGATAAGTTTTTTGGTTAGAGGAGAGCCTCCAAATAAAGGTTCCATAGTTAAAGAGCAAATTGAAACAGCTTAATGAGAGTGATGTCATATTCAAGACTAAATGGAGTGAACTTAATAGTGCCAATATTGAAAATGAGTAACTGAAAATGAATGTTCCATTTTTACAAATCATCATCCCCTTTCTTTAATTGCAGACATTTTGAAAGAGGTTTATAGTTTAGTGCCTCCACTGTCCTTATATAGTATCATGATATATAGATGCACAACATGTTAATACTTTGAAAATTTAATCATATTGACTGTTTATGCTCTACAATTGAAGATAAATGTCTAGCTATTCAAAATCTATGACTACAAGTTAATGATTATTCTGTCATATTCATTAACAAAATCATTAGACAATATGAGCAAAATCAAAGTAATGTAATGTCACATGTCCCAAAAATCAGAAAAATAATGACTTTGGAAACAACATGGATTGTTTCTTAAATTAGCCATGACATCACTAACACACTAAATATCTTTTCTCTGGAAATCTGCTTTTAAACCACATATCTGATTGTCGAATATGCAAGATAGAATTAAATGAAAAGTTCTACATCAGTAATGTTATTTTTTTACTGACTTGCAAGGTTTATAACCTTATACATATGTGAGACATTCAGACATAATGGTATATCTAATTGATATTCATAAGGAAAACACTGGGAGAAGCACAGTAGCAGAACATTTTGTCAAGGAACAAGATCAACAAACTGTACCAGAGGATTGATTCAATATACAAACAATCATCACTGCTTTGAATTTTGTATATAGAAAATGTAAAGAAGCTTAATTGGTTGCAAATAAAAACCACAATTAAACCAAAACAGGGATTGGCTATATAGATTGTGTTGAGTTTAAACCATTTTGTTTTAATATAGTACTGTTTTTGTTGTATATATTTATTAATAAGCATTCAATGTTTTGTACATATTTATAGTTTGCTTTGTTTCTTATGTGCTTACATATGTATACACACAAACACATACAAGATGGATAGTATTACTTTTTTCACTTTCATATTTTCTGATGTGTAACTTACAAACTCTAAATGAGACAATGCATTGTATATGTATGGTAAATGAACAGTATCCATGAGGCTCGTTTATTTGTATGGTATACTGTTTGTAGATTATGTACCTGGTATAGATCCAAGATGATATATTGGATAGTAATAAATGATGAATTCTCTAGAGTAATAAAAGTATCTTGTGTGTGAATGTGTGCATGTGAAAAAATTAAAATTGAATACCTTAACACAATAGAAATAATAAATACTTGAGAGAAGTCAGTGAAGACAATATTAAATCTTGACTAAATTGTGTGTAAATATTTACGCCATTATTTTTAGAAGTGAACCAGGGGACTAAATCTTCAGGAACCATTCTGTATTAAGTAGCATATAAGAAGAAAAACATTTCTCATATACCATCTATATTATATATGTGGTATGCAAATAAGTGCAAAATATACCTTGTTTGCATGTCTGTCATTTACCAGCAACTTTTAGATACACGTTTAAAAACAAAAAGACATTCTTTGATAGATTGTATAGGCAAAGTATTTATGATAAAACTTTGTAGAATGGATGGCAACTGCCTGTTGTAAAGACACAAGTGTAGAGGACAACATTTCGAAAATCTTTCGTCTTCGGGTCCTAAGACAAAAGGTGGAAGACTTTCGAAATGTTGTCCTTTACGCTTTTGTGTACAACAGGCAGTTGCCATTCATTCTACAAAGTTTCATCAACAAAAAGACATTTTTTGAATGTTTCATTACTTATCTGTTATTTTTAGTTTAATTCACATTCTTGTTTTTAGAATTTAACTTAGTCTTTCATAACTGATAGGTGATTGAATTTTGTTAGTGTAGTAAGAAAAGAAACTTGTTGCTCTATCTACATGCTATATAGTTCATTTTCTCATACCATCATTTTCAGAGCATCATTCTGGCGTACCAATTAAGATAGATTTAAAATCTGTAAAACTAAGAGAAGAAGAGTGAGTTTAGCATATTTACAAATGTAGAAAACAATGGTGTTTTGCCATAAACATGAACCCGGCAACAACAAGAATTGTGACAATGAGATTGTGTACAATATATAAGAATACCTCCAAAAGAGAGACCGGCAAGCTAGTACATGTACATATGCATAGATTTTTGGAATATTACT